TTGACGGTATAGTTAATAGTTTCCTTACAGATCGGCTAAAGCTGGTTGCAATCGAAGGGTCAGTTACACAATGTAAACATCACAACACTAAGGCAAAGTAAAACACCACCTTCGAACACTTCAACAATTTTTCTGACGGCCAAGTAAAATACACTTGTTTACGTATATTGTGTTGTGTTACTTGATTATATACTAAAAAATGATTGTTTATATATTGTAGAATTGGATAATTTTTAGGTTTTCGCTTTGTTAATTTTTAGACCAGATATTCTCTGAAAAGCAAACCATAAGAACAAATCTTTTTTTGCAATAATAATATGTAAATAAAAATTTTAAGACGACGCAAGGAGAATATAAATGCATATACATGACCGGGAATGCATATATTTTGTCGAGTCTTTCAAGCTTCCTTCTAAGGGTTACAAACGTTCTGACAATTTGAATATACTGCTCACACTTCTGCGGTGGGTATAAAAATACAAAGTATTTCCTAACATATGTGATTACGGCGACATTATTTGTGGGCGCATCCAAAATTTGGATCAGATGGAACACTTTTTTGGAATCCCTTTCCCTATAAACGTTGCTACGAAAACTCAAGTCTCATGAAAAATAATAAAATCTTTCATATACTATATTTTTTAATATACTAAATCTTTTAATATACTACATTTTTGTTACGTCAGTTGACTTTTCGGGCACCTTGTAATATGGGAGCTTACAAAAAAGTATGCCTTCGAAATAGACGAAGCTATTTATGGTGTTTAATGGTCCGCATTGGCGGGTATAACAATTGTACTTATTTTACATTGACTTTAGCTTGTCTGAATTAACGGATGTGCACACAAGATAAAAAAAAAGTAAAACAGGCTGCTTCGTACGAAGATGTGTAAACAAATCGGTTAATGTAAAATAAATTGCCAAAAAGAGAAAAAACTTTTGCATCAATTTTGATTCCGGTTATTTATTAAAATTATTACCCAATTAAATATTAACTTCACTTTTTCTCGTTATTCGTTTATTATATTAAAGTAACTTAACTTTTGATTATAACAGTTTTCACTAATTAAAACAATTAGATAGATCTGACTCAGCAACTGGAAAGTGCGGAAATTAACTCTCGTGCATGCATTCTTCTGATTAACAATAGTCTGGAAGGGAATAAATCGCTCTTTGCTTTCATTTTCCATAAATTTGCTTTCTTCCCGACAATTGGCCACCGAGAGACGTACACGTAGACTCAGCGATAGCTGCGCGTTTTAGCTTAGCACGAGAAGGCATTCCAATCTAAAATTAATTTACCAATTATTGCTTTTTTAGTAACATCTGAAAAAAGAAATTCAGCAATTACTGGCGTTGTGTTTATGTTTGTATATAATTTAACCAATTTTCTTGTCTAACAAATTTTTAATGGATTTAGAGTTAAGAAAATTTGGACATGTGCCTGAATGTTATCGTAGTGTAATTTTACACGAATAAAATGGCTATCCTGCTATGTTATACATTACTTCACATACATTATCTGTTGAAACAAAGTGCAAAATAAAGTGTGATGGATTAGATAATTAAAAAATAACTTTTCCATGCCAAATGTATATACTAAGAAATTATACTTCACTTTCACTCTAAATATCTCATCGATACTTCTGTATCCTTTTCAAAAATTTTCACTTTCCCTTCGTAGCTTTCCATCGAACTCCTGCTAAAGAATATTTACCTTTAATTATTCTGTTGACAGGCGTTGTCCTTTTTGGAAAAGAAATATGCAACCACAACTCATGTACTTAGAAAGTATGATATTAGCCAACTATGGAGTAAACGTGATTCTTCCAGCTTTACTTAAAAAATTTTGATTGATTTGTATTTTTTCATCCAGCTGATTGGTTTTGATAACAACATTAGTCATTAACCGGAACTTTTCGGTATGATACAAGCGCAGTAAGTAGACAAACACAGAAGTAAAATTTCGTTTTGGAAACGGAGCTGAAAGTTAAAAGTCTGAAACATATCTAATTACAAAGTTGGTCCGTTAGATAATGTTATTTTACAGAGTTGAATCCCTCTGGTCTGTTAAATTGCGCGTTTAACATAGCTGATTGTCGTTAACATTTAAGTTGTTAGTTGGGCACTCAACCATTTATATATATTATAAGCGACTCTGTGCTTTGCCTTTCAACAGGGAATTTAGCGAAAACTTTGTTTAATTTGATAATGTATTCAGCATATGGATAGTGCATACATACAAGTATATGTACGAATCAACACTTTGAACTCGGCTCTAAAAACTCTAATTATTGAAGAGTTCGGATTTCTTGCTAGTATGATTAGAGATGAGTGCGTGAGTTTGCGAGTTCCTTATGATCGTCAACGCTTTCATTCTATAAAGAGTTTTACATTTATCAAGAACGCTTTAAATAGAAAACTTATACATGTGTTATTAAAAAACAGTTAATTTCAAATAAATTACATGATTTCAAAAACGGTTTCATTACATGTTTATTCACTGTCAAAGGAGGACATATAAGGGTGTACCGCTTTGCAGGTCTGCATTATATATTCGCTCTCTGAAATTTTGCACGTCTTTTCTCTGAATATATTTTTGTGCGTCTTTTTTTACGGATTTTGGAAATTACACACGAAAAGAAAAGACGGCTTCCCAACATTTGAAAGTTGAACATGACGCCTGTAAGAGAAAATTGCTAATTATGTGGAAACTGTAGGCGTTGTGGAATTCCAAAGTGATAATTGAACAATACAAAAAAAAAGTTTTCCTACTTTCAAACCGCCGGTAAGTAGTTGTTGAAAAAACGTTCAGCAAAAAATTTTTCTTTGCCTTGGGATAATTTTAATGACAAATGCTTCCAATTAATAATTAATTGATGGTCAATGAAAATGTGCAGGGTCGTCCTCTAACGCTTGAATGTATCCAATGGACTAAAATGCATAAGAAAATTCATTTTCTCGTGGGTAAATCACTTCATGTTTCTTAGCTGTCTTACCTTAGAGCCAAGTTTCTAGGCAAGAAAACATTTATTAGTTTGCTCGCTTTAAGGATGTGATGGGCATTGCTTTTGTGAAAAACTACTTTTTCATCATTTTTTTAATATGCTTGCACACGTTCCTTGAGTCAACTCTCAGATTGGTCGAGGACTACTATGCAGCAGCTAGTCGCAACGCATAAAAGACATATACTTGCTTTATTGTCTAAGAAAAGGTTCATACTTAAAAAATATTCGGTATTCGACAATCACGAAATTTCGACTATTCCAAAAAAAATGACAATTTCTTCTTGATTGTGAAAATTGCAATGCGCCCTTTTTTTAATATTCATCCCATTCAAAAGTAAGACTACACCGGAAATGTTCTTACTTTGTAGTCCAAAAATCCGCGTTAGATTTTTCCCTAAAGGAAATATGTGCAGACAGCACATGGGTTTCAAAGACGGTTTGACATTTTTGTGCGCGCACTGCGGCCATGTTTATGGAAATAGTTTTAAAAAAAAGTAGGAAAAATGCTTTAAGTGATAGCGCACAAAGCCAGAGTGGATATGTATTGTACGACATGCATATATAAATTGATTCAAACACTTCTAACTGTGAGCACTTTACGTTGCAAATGATGAAAATGTTAGGTAAACTGGTTGACGATGTAATTATAATCGTTCCACGAATAATTAAGGTACATTACGTAAGCTCTGGAATAAAACTGATGCAATAAACAATCAAAAATTTGGAATTTTCAGCGTTAATTTCCCATTTTATATACCAGATTTTTTAATCCAACTTATCGCAAGTAGAAAAATGATCAATTCCCGATATTAAAAATTCATAAAACATGCATAATAACATATAGAGGTTTATTAACATTTAATAAATTTATAACAACTACTAATGCAATTCTTTAGAGATAGCTGTACAACACAATACAAAAAAAAACTTAAAAGTAACTTAATTAAGACTAGAATTGACGATTTTAAAGGTGCGTAAATACATGTTCATACACGCATAGAGTTATATAAACAAAAAAAAATATTTTTCCCTAACAATTCTATAACTTGCACAAACTATATTAGGGCTAATGCGGATCGGGGAAGGCGAAGTGCTTCCTCGCTTTTGTTACAATCAGGTTTGAAAAATTAAGGCTTAATTTATTTTATCAGTACAATTTTTGATATTTTATAATTCAATTCTGGAATTTTAATTCAATTTTTGTAACTTTTTTGTACTAATTTTTGAATGAAAATAAGAAAAAAAGTTTTGCTTAAAAGATGTACTTTACCAAAATTTCTTTTCAATGCAATTAAGGCACTGCCTTTGGTATACCTAAGCAGGTCTATCTTGTGTTCTTCTTCGTCTTCATCATCTTACCATCTAATCGCTCATCTCTCTTGGGAATGTTCTTGTGTCTGCGAGCCCCATAGTGAAATGGACATCGTCCTTTCTTCGCCTATCTACTGTTATTTGCTAAATCAGCCTTTTCAGCTTAGTGATTATTCTTTTTTTCGTCTTTCAATTTTAGCAATTGTAGTGCTATGGCTGCTGCATGGTTTGTTGTTACAATAGAGTATTTATTCAACGTTTTTATAAAACATTTCAAGCATTTTTCCATCAGGATTTTTGAAATTTTTTTCGTACAGCGCGTTTATAATTAAAGTAAGTATTTATAAAAAGAAAAATTATTTTCGTATTCTTCTTGTGAATTTTCCATTTTTCCTCCAAATATATTTACTTTTATAGTTTGATGGTAATATAGAAAGAGAGTAAAGTTATACTTTTTTAGTGATTATCATAAAACTTTCATCACACGATATACTAACATCAGCTAACTGGGATAACCGAAAAATTAAAAAGAAAAAAATTTTTAGTTCAAATGTTGTTCTTTGATCAGCAAAATTACGCATTCGATGATTGTAAAGTTTGCCCCTGGAAGCGGAGTATTCGATTATTGAAAAACAAACATTACCTTTCTCGCTTTCGCCTATGTTCCAGTTGTAAAAATATGTTGTTAGCTTATTGTACGTCAAATTTGCCTGTATGTTGGCACACATGTTTTTCAATGCAAGTAAATATCTGAGTGTTAGATAGTAGTAGTGTAATGCTCCGGTATTTTATTCAATTTTATGAGAAACTTCATTGTTGACTAAATTTTTGCGAAAATAAAAAAATAAAAAAAAAACATAAAAACCACGAATTTTTTAGGTAGTCAATAATTAATAAGTAATTGATATCAATACAAAAATATTAAAAGAAATAATGGGCTTAGACGATGGTAAGCGACCAATTTATTAGATAATGGAGACTTTCTTCTAACTGATGTTAATTTTTTGTATCACCTATATAGACAATGCAAATTTCAACTTTGTTGATAATGAAGCATACACCGAGGACAATGTCTTGATCTATAACATATTCGTTTACAAAATAGCCCAAAAGGTTTTATATCACACATCAAGAAAAAAATTTCAAAATTTTAACCTTTTTAGTTCTTTTTTAACGTAGATTACTGAAACTCACTTAACCGAATATTTTCAAAAATTTGGGAAAATTATAAAATTGAGCGTCAGAAGACCAGCAAACCCCAATAATCATCGGAATCGAGCTCCTAAAGTAGGATTTGTTAATTTCGCTGATCCGAAATCAGCAGCCAGGTAAGTTTATTATTTCTTTTATAATTATTTTATATGCCAATATTAAATGGGTCAAATCGATACGATCAAGGGCCAGCATCAAAGTTTATCATCGCTTGAAATATGAGAAACTCTGATAACGTTTAGGCGTTGGTCTGAAGCACAAAGTTTACGAGATACATTATATAGTTGCTTTTCTAAACACCTTGCGTATTAAAGAAAAAAAAAAAAAGGGTGGATTGAATTAGTTCTCCTTTGAAACAATGTTGGAACAAATAAAGAAGCACTGGTTAATTAAAAATGCGTGTCAGCAGATACAGTAATCAAAACGGAGAACAGTTAGAGTAGGTATCCTCGTGCAAGTGATGAAAGCGCTTCGTCCTAAAAAATCGATCAATAGTAATTTTTTGCGTATTGTAAGTGTTTTACAATCATTCGAACAATAACTTACGATAAATTATTATCAATTTTTACCGCTGATTGTGCTTATATATAGGGAGAGCTGGTAACACGTTTGCACGCACGCTTGCTTAGAGATGTTGTAATAGATATGTTTTTCAATGCGACATATAATGCGATGGATGTAAATATTGGACTGATAACGGTTTCTCGACTTGAATCTGTACCAGACCCACTTTCAATCTATTAAGGACAATCGTTTGGAATATCCTCGCTGCCCAAAAGTTGAGATATAAAATTTTTGCCATTGTCACTTCAGAATAAATCTTCACGTAATGACCAACGCAATAGTATTCCTTTACAGTTCAGTGGCTTTCCTAATTTCAAATTTAGATTTCGTGGAAAACTAAAGATTTTTCTGTGCGAAAAGACGTTGTTTCGTGGGAATTGGACATGTTTAAAAACCAGTATGAAACGATGCAATAACATTTCTTGCAAAAATGCTATTTTGTTGATTCAATCAAAAAAATATTTAATCGCATTTCAATGCTAAGACGTAGAATGGGAAGTAAATTAATTTGACCCCCAATAACTTTGTGGATGATTCATCTTTTTTAACATCGAAAATTTCTTCTTCTCTTATTAAAAACTTTGAAACATACCATTTTTATATAATTTATTGAATGTGTTTCCTTCCCTTTAGTTAGCAAAAACTTTGCGAATTAAAGTTCTTTTTACGAACGAGCATGATTATTTTTTAATTATGATATAGAACAGCTTTAAATAATTGTCCTTGATTTAACAAATATTTTTACATTGTTTACAGTGTTTTGAAAACGCCGTATCACTTTGTTAACTGTAAACCTATTGGTGTGAAGGCATGCGACAGCTGGCATCAACCTGATGCACAACAACAGAATGTGGACAAAGCAGAGAAGGATGAAAATTTAGAACAAACCGTTCCATCTGCCTCAATATTAAACTTAAACGATGACTGTTTAGAACAGATTTGTAAGCATTTACATTTACGCGACCAAATTCAGTTCGCCCGTACATGCCAGCGTTTTCGCGATGTTTTTGAGATGATATCTAAAATTAAATATAAAAAACTAATTCTAGAAGAAGTTCAGACTCTTACGTTGTGGCAATTGCGAGACTTTTTACAAATTGTTGGGCCGCATGTGGAGACATTGATGGGTACAATAACGGCGAGAAAAAGTAGGCGGATTGGTGAATTTTTAGGCACACATTGTATAAATGTTAAGACGGTTACCATTGATACTACGCGTTTTAAGCCACTGTTTTTAAAAAGATTATTGCAAAGAATGAAATGCTTAAACGAACTGGAACTGCAAGATGTCACCTTGACTGATCGTTGTGTGGATGTATTAAAAAAGTTAACAAATTTAAAAATCTTACGCGTACCCCGGAATTGTGAAATAACTGGAAAATATATTGAGCAATTGTGCGGAGTTCAAGAGCTTTCTTTATATGGTTGCAGTGGTATTCAAAGTACTGCTTTAGTTGAAATATGTAAATCTCTGACAGGATTACGAATACTTGATATAAAACTTTGCAATCGTTTAGATACGTCAGCTTTTCAAGGCATTGCCAAGTATTGCCGAAATTTGGAAACATTAAAAATGTCTTGCGACTCAGCTCAATATGAATGCATAGCCAAATTACCAAAGCTTAAAAATCTTGAATTATTCGCCCAAGAATTTTTACGATCACAAATATTCAGCGAATTAGCTACGCATCAAGCCCACCAATTAGAATCATTGAAATTGAAAGCCGCACATTGTATCAATTATAATAATACTGTAAGCATTGCCCAGTTGAAGAAATTAAAAATTCTTTGCTGCCCTCTAAACGAAGCTTTGGTTGATGGCACCCTCAAGGAATTTGCAGAGTTAACTGAATTAGAAGAGATCAACGTAAAAGGCTGTAATAATTTCACCAGCGAAAGTCTGTTGCATTTATTAAGAAAATGTCTTAAATTAAAGCGTGTCAATATTACGCGCTGCAAACAATTGGCGGATCAATTTGTTTTAGAGACGTGTAAGGTTCTACGGAAACAACAACGCAAGGAACCATTACTGATTTTTGCCAATCGTTCTGGAATTGATCGCTTTATTTTTGAAGTAAGTGAACGTTAACGATTTAATGATTTTTTTTACTATATCTTCAAAGTTCACAATCATGTCGGGAATGAAACAATTTTCATTCTTGTAAAACGTACGATTGCAAAAAGAGAGCTAGGGCGTGATTTAGCATATTGTTTTTGAATTGTCTCAAGCTTTGCATTTTTAAACCCTACATAATTTGAGGTACAAGTGCACGGTAAGTTTGTGCGGATCCGGTGTGCAACAACTAGAAGGAATTGATCCACCTATTTTTTCATTTTAATGGGCGTAATGGCAACAAACTGCTTAGTGACCCTACACTGAGGTCAAACCATCCAGGAACCACTTTCGCGTTAATGTTTTTCCCCATCCTCGGCTGAGATTATTACTTTCGGTGTCCATTAACCTGATCGTTTGAAAATTACCCGGGCTATTTTAAAACTGCATAGATCTTAAAAGTCTGTTTCTCAAACACGTCCAAGGTCAGCAGGTAAAAACAGCATGAGGCGCATCGTCGTTTGTGCCTCGACAAATTTCCATGACCAGTGAAAACTTGGCTTAGGAAGAGATTAACTTCTGCTTGTTTCCTCCGCAACCGTTAATGCACATTTGGGCTGAGCGTGTAAGTCTAGCTTCCTTGCGAGTGATTTTGTCGTCGCTGCTGCTATTCTGTCAAGATGTTCTGCCTAAAAGCAGTTTTAAGCCTGCAGAAGTCACTGTCTTCGTCATTAGTTCTTCCCTTTTTGTAGCTATGGATACATAAGTGCTCCTTCATCCCTTCTGTTATTATTCCGATTGAAACTTCTCTGTTCGTCTACGTTGTTTTCTTGTGTTCAACATATGGCGCGCAATTTTTCAAATATTTTGACAAAATTTAGTACGCCGACATCTCTTGGCTCAAACAAGGCCGATATTAAAAAACGTTATGATTGTAAGAGTTTTTCGACCTCTTCCACTCTACGAGAGGGGCTATTGAGTATTTATACATACATACATTAAGTGTAAAATTTTAATATGCTCCCATTTTCTGATAAACGACATGAAAATGTCGCTCGAAAATTTGGACTTTATGACAATACGTGCTATCTATTATACTTTATTTAATATTATATACTTAGGTACACATGGCAACCATAGCAGTCTACTTATGTATTAGGAATTGTAGAGAAAGGACTATATCAGGATGAATACAGAGTGCTGGAGATTATAAAAAATTATGGATATTAAGAATACTAGTAATGCCTAGAGGAAATGGGATGCTGTCTATTTTTTTGGAGAGACCAAATGTTCGCTAATCCGGCGAGGTTGATTTTACATGTTTTAGTTTCTTCGAATTCTTGTGTTTTGTTTTTTTACAACTTTCGATAAAGGACAAATATTAGTTAAACCTTTAACTATTTCTTGGATAAGAATAGATTTTGAGTTTATGTTCCTAACTGAACACTTTGCAGTGTCCCGCTCCAGCAACGCAACTTAATAGATATTTCTCCATTTGAAACCATTATTTTTCTTTTTTTATTATAAAAGATTTCCGTGTGAAATTACAAAAAGCAGGTCCGATACTTGAAGCTCTTCAATCGGATATGCTGCTTCCATATTTACTTCGTTTTTGTTTACATTAAATTGATTAATAATCTCATTTCCTTGAGTTATATTGAAGTGAACACACGGCATACATAATTTATATATATTTGTTATATTGATTTTAGATAAATGAATTTGTATATAAATGACAAAGGACGTTTTAAGTCAGGCCAAATAAGACTACGCATGGACTCCATTGCAAACTAGAAGAAAATATCTATAAGAAGATACATATGTCAAATGATAGCGCTTATGTGGTTAAATGCACATGAAGATGGAATTAGATCGACCAAAAATCTCAAGAGAGAGAGAGAGAGAGAGACATACAAATTAGGTATTTTTGTGACTGAGATTTGTTCAAAGATTTTAGGGGATTAGTAGTAATTACCAAATTATCTCTCCCATCTCAGGAGCTTGCGTTTGGCGCAGCAGGGCACAACATTTGTGCATCGATTTGAGGTGGTGACAAGCACAAATCTGACCTAAGACAAATCTAATTTCATTACTTTTTTTTCATTCTAAAGTTTCGTATTATAAAGTTTTAAGATAAGACCAACTTCAAACTATCAGTTGCTTACCATTAAATTCGGCTCTACTCAGGCTTCATTACTCTGCTGCTATTTCCGCATAGACTCTTCACCATGTCGCTTAAGCATATTTTTGTCTTTTTTTATATATATTTTTATTCTATACCTCTCAAAAATGAAAAAAATTCCTGGTGACGAATGAAAACAACAAATAAAGTACAAAGTGAGTCCACATAAATTGATTGGCCCGACGAGTGCCCTTTCTTTTCATATCGACCACCTCCTTTCAGTCTTGAATTCCTACTCATAAATCACACAAATGATATTTAGATCATTTTACACTACAAGCCATTAGACAATCTTCAGTATATTTGCTTTTTATTTTGGGGTAAACGTGATCTAAAATGAAAAGTTGATCTTCTTATTAAATTGAATTTCACATCAACCTTTCTAAAATATTTCAGAAGAGCAAAATGTGTGTCGTTGCTTATATTTATTTTGTCGTTTGCTGTTTTCCAACTATTAAGGCAAACAGATTAGATGTCAATGTTAAACAACTTGTTTTGTATAAGAAAGGAAAAGCTTTTCCTTTTGCTAATGGGTCATGTAAAGTAAATACATGATCTTAAGTTTTCAAAACCTCTAGTTACATTCCTATACTTTTCACGCGTAAAGTCCCGTTTAATTTGGGATTATCTATATATAAGGAAGTAATTGTTAACAACAAAAAGGAAGACAGAGAGCGAGAGAAAGAAGTGCAACCTTGGCAAATGTAATGAGAGGAGAACGTGGTTGATATTCCAGCGTAAAGCAAGAAGCTTGAAGTGCTTAATTAGTTTCTTTATTGTCTGCAGCTATTTGCTTTGATTATGTTTACGAGGCAATCGAAGAGGAAGTAAAAGTAAATTGTTTATTTTAATTCACAATCCAGCGACACGATCATGAATAAATTAATTAGATAAAAAGTTACAGTTACCGAAGATAAATAATGCATTCGAAAATTAATTAATCAGACAAGTTCTCCTACTTGCCCTTTTTTTTTTTTTTAGTACTCGTAACAAGAAGAACGTAGGATCAGGGTTGCCAAGTATTTCTAACTATGCAAGAGGCTTTCGCAATTTCATAATTGATATATTTTCAGTGTGAATAGCAAAATTAATTAATTGATTTACGAATGTTTCCCTGTCTTTTTTTCGAGTCATAATTCAAACTAACTTGATCTCTTGCCTATAATGAATAGTTTAAGCAAAGTGTGTCCGCCCGTAATTAGAAACAATAACGATCTCGGGAGTTTATTTGATGCATTGAAAGTCAAAGAACTTATTTCTCTGATAAATTCCGCAAACAATTAAATTAATTCGATGGCTTACTATCCACCCTAATATGCCAGGAAGAAAGTCAAATGTGTAGTTTCTCATTAAACTATGAGGGGTTTGTCCGCGTGAATGAAATATTTCACATATACATTACACAATGGATGTTAAAAAAATCGATTACAATACATCCAATATATTAAAACCGTCCTTATTTTTAATAAATTCCTCAAAGTATCCGATCGCCAAATAACAATATACCAGATTCGTTATCCAGTTCTTCAGGTATTGTAACTTGAAGAATAGGAACAGTAATATGTTCATGTAAAGCGGTCTTATGTTGCTAGCTTGACCCTTGAACAGCATTATATCTAATACATTGTATATAGTGGCCTAAACAAATAAATTCATGGATTAAAGTAGGTTAAGCACTAATAGCTAGGACTCTACACAAGATATATACGTCTATTCGTTATATAACAACATAAAGTCATGTAAATCCCTTCATTCGCCAAACTGTTTTACTTTCTTGTTTCTGTTTTACTTTGAAATGTCGTTGCTCCTGATTACATCTATGCCCAATTTTCTTACAACCATTATATGCTAGTATAAATGAAAAAGGCTGAATTTTAAATTTTGATTAATATAAGTTTTTACCATAAGTAGCCAAGGGCAGGCGGAAGATGCAAATAATAATTTTGAAATCAATTATTGATGACTAGTCCTTGTTTTTAAGTAGCAGATCAAATTAGATCATGTTATAGGTTTTCTTATATAATTTTTTTTTTTTTTGCAGAATCCAGATGTTAAAAAATATTCAGACATATTGAAAATCACATTTGATGTTCCATTCTTCGATGGTCATTTCTATGATGATGTCGAAGATATTTATGATGATATTTATGATGGTTCGGAATTTGACGAAAACGATGATGATGATGATATTTATTATCTTGGAGATTATGGAGATATGGACAGCGACAATGATGAAGACTTCTTGTTTCACGATGAAGATGACATGGGAGATATTTACAATCATTTCTTTCATGTTTATGGGCGTTTTCCAGAATACGATGATGGTATGTGACAAATATAGAAAACTTTTTAATTTATACTCAATTTTACTCATCATAGTTATTGACGACTTTTGGTAAATCAGCAAAACAGGGCATTTATGAAATGAATTCCGAAGCAATCTACTGAAGAATACGGAGAGAAGCGAGAGAAAGATCAAAAATTTATCGTAAGATGTTGTCAGTATTAAGTCGTTAATTTATTGAAGAGTTTTTATTTTTCCCCTTTTTTGATAATATACGAACTGATTTGTTTATATGATTTATGAATTTGTCTATTATTACGAGAACAAAAATTGAATTAATTTCTGTATATTTCCTATTTGCGATAATAATAACGATAATAAAAAAAAAAAAGCATAAAAATATGTTCGCTTTCGTTTGAGTCAACACCGTTTGCTGTTATTATTTTTAAAACACGAAATAGTGAGATATTAGGAGGTTGCATATATTTTGGCCAGCGACTTCTACAAATAAAAATAATAAAGAAATCGAAAATACAAGGATACATTAATAGTTGAATTCGATGGCTTAGACCTTCCTCTACATAAAATAACAATGTTCCATTTAATAGTATTGATTTATTCAGCGTACGCTGACGCTAATCGTGGAGCGCTCGAAATTGCATTTTCGACATCCTCTACATTTGTTGTTTAACTTGAAGAAGTTTGCTACCGAAACCCACCAAACACGTTTAGAAGCTTATGCTGATACTGGCTCAACAGTATCCCAATTGTCAATTTTGATTTCAACAATTTAAAAGTGGAGATTATCATGTCAATGACAAAAGAATTGCAAATTGCATAAAAATGTCATCTCGAATCGTTTTAACATCGCGGTTTCATTGCTTGCCAGACAAAAAAAGAATAGTTGTCTACGGCATACAGTGACTGGCAAAAGCAAATGCGTCTACTACGACAATTCCAAGCGCAAAAAGCCCTCAGTTCAGTCATAATTATAGGTTTTTCTATAAAGATCAAAAAGATTAAATACAGTTTAGTACCTTTAAAAGAAAGTAATGCGAACATGTTCAAAAAACAAAATTAAACTACAAATATTAGAAAAATTGCACGTGATCTGTGTACATATATATGTGAAGGTGCATATGTGCATGAATGTATTTTAATCATTTTTCTCAATTGCAAAGGCATTTGTTGAAAATGTATCAACTATATCTCTTAACTATATATATGTAAATATATCGGCATTTACGTCAACTACAAAGTGCGAACTAGAATAATAATCGAAATCAGATATTCTGTCGTACTTTCGCTATCGTTACACAGTTTTGGGCTAATAATTGAAAATTGCAATAACCCTTTGATAATACGCATGGCAAGTCTCTCGTCCCAATTTTTGAAACACTCGCGAGCTCACTAAAATAAGATAAACATAGACAAATTCCAATGATTCTGTCGTATACATCCATTTTTCTGCATCAAGGATTTAGAAAACGAATATTTCGGAATATTGTTATTTATAATGAAGCAATCCACGAAAAGAAATTAATTTTAGTCAGAACATTGCGGCGTTAAAAGAAACTGTTAAACGTCTTATGAAATGAAGGCAGTTATATTAGATAGTACCCGTCGAAAGGCAATATTTACAAAATTGCGAACCATTTCATGTCAGTTGCTAACATCGGGGAATATTTGAAGGAAATATTAACTCAATAACAGCTGCTATGGATCACAAATAATTCTTTCTTTTATTCCGGTAAATGTAATTAAAAAAAAATAATCGAGAGCAGAGACTGAAAGTGCAAACTAACGTTCTCCAACTTTAGTATAATTGTAGAGATTGACTGGTCCAAGTCCACCCATTTAATACATAAAACCTTGGGGTGTTTAGTAAAAACCTAAAACATTAAAATTTTAAGTGAATCAAGCGTTCATGTGGTGGGTAGAAAGCGGGGAGAAAACGAAAAACTACTCGACGCAATCAGTTATCAATTGTATTAATGGGTATGCGAGATTCGACCCCGCCGAATGTAACTTTCCTATTTGTTTTGTGTCAATAGTTAAATATCAACTGCAGATCACTGCCAGAAATTATGACTCTTTTCCTCTGCAAAATCTATGCAGAATTCAATGGAAATGTCTTCGACTAGCTCTTGGTGCAATTAGCTTCATTCACATTTAACTTAAAGAAAATGGCAAACATTATGCTTCTACCCGAAAAACTTCCGTTTACTCGCTAATTTCGTCTGCAACAAAATTTTAGTTAATGAGAATCATTCGGTCTCTCTATCGCGCAGTTCTTCAATTCTTAATTCAACTCACGATTATCACTTGTTTCCTTGATTTTCGCAACTAAAATATAATACCTTGATTTGCCTATTACCACCTTAGCAGTGACATGATTTGCCTTATTTATAAACTGATATCTAATCACAAGCGATGCAATGATAATCTTTAGAAAATTAGCCATAGACAACAGGTCCTCATGCAGAGGCAATCTCTTGACCAACTTCATCTTTCCACCAATTCTATTCGCCACTCCACGCCAAGCTTTTCTAGTTGACAATTTTGTACACACCCAGGGCTTACACTGCAATGCTTTCTTTTTTTAAAACTTATCATCAGACCATATATAAATGTTCACAAATACTCTTTTATTTTCGCAACATTTCTGCTGCTTCATAAGGGGGCTGGCACAGCGAGGCAGCCGCGCTACCATATTGTTTTACAGAAAATCTGAACACAACGATATGGTTTTAAAACCAAAAAAAAAAAAAATCAACGTGAACGTACAACAAGAAACATGTAAAAAATAATTCATAACCTGCTTAAATTTTACTACACCATGTAGAACCTTTTTCTGTATTAATGCACAATTCCATAACTTTTGTTTAATAAACTACCGTTTGAAAGTCGTTAACGCCGTCGTAGCCAATAGACTGAAAGAAGCAAACATTCAGTAGGGTGGCCACTCTTGCTTTCAAGAATATTTTTTGAACGATTTAAACGTCTTTGTAGCGAACAGTGGGAAAAGCGAAATTTAGAGCAACAATTAATTCCAGACAATTGCGATGCATTGCAAATTTTGCGACATGTGTACACATATATTTGTAGAGATTTGTAGCACGGATATTGTTAGAGAAGGAAGTGCATAATTGGTGTTTGCATTCGTAACGATAAGAATACGAAAAGTATACATGTTCGAAAGATATCAAACATCAAGTTTTACAAGTATCCTCGCAATGCTTCTGTGCATCTTTTTTCTCTTCATTTTTGTAATCAATGCAAATATATTTGTTCATAACAAAATTAAAATTAAGAGGTTAAGAGGTCGCTAAATTTCAATCGTGGACGAAAGCATTGTCAGCGTTACCTATGGAGGAATCTATAATTTCAACTAGACATCGGCCAAGTTCTTCTATAACCATTTTTTCTATTTGGTATGCCGGCAAGCCAATCTTTTCACATTCATCCGCCTGCGTAATCATGCATTGTATGGTAGCATCAATAATTTCTTGAGTGATGAAATTGCATTGTTGATTCTCCAATGGCGGCGACGTGTTGTTGGATGTAGCCAATAGTTCTGCGCCGTTTAAATTCGTTTTCGAGTTTTCCTTTATTACTCTCTCAGTTTCAACCGACACTACATTGTTTAAATTAGCCCTTTTGTAGGGACGTTTTTGCATTGGCATTGGGCAATTGGTTGACATTTGATTTGCTGCATTCGCTGTAGTTACCACGATACTTGGATCCATTGGATCCATATCCAAATTCGATCGACCTTCAACATTCCGACATCCTTTTTCGCTCGAGAAAATTCAAATTACTCCAATTCTGAATTCTATACATTTCTATAAGTGTACTTACCATAGCATTTGCAATTAGAGCTGCAGGGTATTTTTGCTTCATAGCATTCGCAATAATTTTTCAGGCAACCTGAACGTTTGCAGTTGCAACCTTTATTATGTAAGCCCATATCACCTTGATCTCAACCAACTATAATTTTCAATCTGAAATTACTAATGAAATGTTATATTAATTAGATTTTCTACTGACATGAACTGCAAGGCCTCCTTGACAGCAAATTAAAATTCAAATTAAGAAAAAAAATACTCAATTATGCAAGTAGTTATTTCGTACGAAACTTTTTACTTACTTAAAAGCGCTGGAATTTTTAATCGCATTCTGACGTTCGTCTTCATATTCCAGTTTTTTATAACAGTCTCTGCAAGTGCAGTTTTGGTAGGACTCTCCATCTGCAAAGCTATCGCAATATAGTTTTAAGCATTGCGATTTACTGCAAAGTCCGAACTTCAAGCATCGGAAGCATCTTATCAAGGCTGTGCGCACCCTAATCTTACAGATCATCCAACCTAAGCGCAACTTTTCCCTTGCCAGCTTCCTCCTGTTGCGCCCAGTAGTTTTTTTGTGACATTGTATTGATATTCTGTTCTGTAGCTGATTGTAGAATGTCCAAGTAAAAGTTAAGGCAGTCACAGAGAATTTGCTTTATAGTGAGAATTTGTCAGCAATTGCAGATAGAGGAGGAAGACATCTTCAAGATCCATCAGTGAGTTGCAATTGTATGACCAAGGCGAAATCTCGAAAATGTTTGCATCTCGATTTCCGCAACATTTGTTGAATATAAAGGTGGAATTAAATGGGGGTTAATAAAAGAATAGTGCTAATGATTCTATTGTAGATTTCCTTCCGTAATTTTCTCTTTAACTTCTCTTCCAATGTATCTTTGAAGATCCAACTTCTCCATGACATCATCCATGACGTCAGCCTGCTCGCTTCCCAATAAACCGATATGACTAGGTACCCATAGCATTTTAATTTTTTCGCCGGGTGTTATAATGATATACCTTAATTTGTTGATGGTGCTCCATCTCGAAGTCGAAGGATTCCGTATAGCTTTTAATACAGGCAAACGTGCGCATGGCTTTTCCAAGCAACGTACTGTATGAAACTCACCCTTGTTAAAATAGAATTTTTTAACTGCAGACAGTGTGTTTTCCAACGATATTTGTTGGAAAACGTGAGCCCGAGAATATGGAGCGACATCACGTGTAGTACTGATAAGTCATTAATATGCATCAGTAGATTTCCTGCATCGCATATCTGCTTTCGTCAAATGTGGATTTTTTTTTATTTTTGTATAGAAATTTTAGCCCCTCACGAGTTTGCCCATGTGGAGATCTCGGAGAATAAATTGTAGAGAGCACGGAGAATAAATTTTAGAGTTTTTGTGGAGAAAACGATTGCGATACCAATTGGGATATATCCCACCAGTGAAAGCGCTGTAAATTTTATGTTTAAGATTATTTGTAAAGCTACGGCTTGTATGTGCGAGCTTAAACATATTCGTTTGTAAGGTATGCTTGATTTTATAGAAATACAAACTCCTTGTTTCGAATATGAATTTTGATCAGTAGTAGTAGAAGTATCCAGTGTGTGAGTTGGGTGGAATAGGATTAAAAGAGCTTCTACCATGGGACTTTTGGAAGGATGTAAGGGTTGAATTAAAATCACTTATGAGCTTACGGACTTCATCAAAATTATAATAAGCCCCTTAATGTTCCATTGTAGAATTTTAAAAACTTTATTTGATTGTAGTGATATGGAAACGGAGTAGTGGATGGGTTTAGTTGACATGCCAGCGTCTCCGTCGAAAAGGTCGCTATAGGAATTTTGCGTGACCAATTTGTTCTTACCAGAATAATAATCTGTACTTCGGTGGTTGCGTACATTTGAAATGCAACGAGTGGACGCAGGTGAATAATTTGAAATTGATGGTTGATTAAGGGATGAAAGATTGGATTCATTACAACTCGTAATTTCTTGACTAGAGTTGGGAGCTGTTGATCACAGGGAATTTAGTTTATTAAATTTTAGAATACGTGTTGTTGTTTTAATTTTTTCAATATTTGCTATTGTTTTGATTTTTCCCCTTATTATCTTTGACGGGTGGTGGAACTGGTTTCGCAATGTAATTTTTGGTTGATGGTAAAACAGGTTTTTCGTTGAAAGGAGTTGGAGTTAAAGGCTTATTAGGCTCGATTTGCGAGACAACAATAGCGTAGTATTACTTTTGTTAATTCTTTGGGTTCTAGATGGATTTATTTCCCGGTATTTGCGTCGCGCTTCGCCCATGCTACAGTAATTTTCTGTTTTAATTTCTAGCATTTCACGCATTTGTATAAAACGTGGGCATTGTTTGTCTAATGCTGAGTGTTAGTCATTTAAGCAGAAACTACGGGTACAGTATGTGGAGGAAGACTACAGTTAGCACAATTTAGTGAATTTATAAACTCCAGTCACTTCTTGATTGCCCATTTCGCTAACTATTTCATCTTACGGGACATGCCTTAAGCGCGGAGCATAAATTACGCCTCTAACTGAGTTCAGTTTTTCATGTAATTTAGCGGAAATAGCACATAAATAAGGTAATGCTTTCGACTTTGAGGTTTTCGGTTGCGCGCGGTTTCCCAGCGAGGACAAGTAAATTCCCATCGCGTAGAATCGAAGAAACACTGAAAAGCCACTATAGTATATAATTTTTGATAACCGGTTTTGGCCGAGAATTATGTTTTTACTTTTCGTATCAAGACTGTAGGGGTAGGGGCTGTAAAAATCGAATAGATTTTGTTTTTGCCCGAAACTAAAGTAACCAATTTCGTCAATATATCTCAAAAATTGCGAACGGTATCTTAAACACACATATACGTGGACAGAAACCCTTAAAACGGGGTCAGACAAAAAATTACAATTAATAACAATAGCAAAAAAGTATAAGAAATTGATAGGTATAAGGTCCAATTTACTTACTTCTGGGTCATAAAATGCCCACACAAACTTAATATATTCTGTGCACAAGTGCTATATAGGGTGCATAAATTAAGCCAAAGATTCAGTTTTCAAAATTTCAGCATTCAGACAGAGATTGACATACATACTATCACTAAAAAGTTTCAGAAAACTTGCGTTGATAAGTAACATAATCCACGAGGGGTCAAAAAAAACCAAGATAATATACAAAGAAGTTGCACAGACTGATTCATGCAAGGTTAATACAAGATTCAAAGATTTGGATAAACTTTTCATAATTCTGTATAACTCCCAGGCGCTATTTTTAATAGATTCCTTAAATAACTTTTGCACATTTCCAACTGTTTATTATAAAATATTAAAAATAAAACGTTTTTCCGAAAGGCTTACTACTCATGACATGTTTTATATGGAGTGAGGACATGATATAGAGTCACGTTGTTCAAGTTAGATCCACTTAATTTTTATATTAAATTACCATCGTCAACAAATTTTCATAACAACAAAATTTATAATTAGGCTTTTTTGACATAAAGTATTTATGTTTTACGAGAATCCTAACATGTGGTACTGTCTTAGGTGGTTCAAATTCGGTAACGCTGATTTTGTTATTAGTTTCCAATTATGAGCTAATTTTCACAATGAAATATTGAAAATTAAACATTTTTGCCATATAAGGATTCAGTTTTCGTACGAGAAGGGATTCGAAAAATTGCCCCAACCAAATTTTCATACCGATTTAGGATGTCGAAATATTGTTACTAGCCACCTTTCTTGAGAATCTTTCAACTTTGTAAATTTTTTTCTTATAACAACTTATGGAAGTGGGGGGAGTGGTCAAAAAAGTCTACCTATCCAAACCGTTTCCAATAGCGTTTGTCCTTGGGCGGAAGCACATCAGTACACCAAATGTTATCAAAAAATCCCAAAAATTACGACCTGTAGATTGAAAATAAATTTACATGGAGAATTATCAGACGGACAGACAGACAGAAAGGCTTAGATCGAACGGTATAATAAAAGATGGGTCTATCTTAAGCCCTTCTGCGTGTTACGTACGTCCACACTAAGATAATAAACCATTTACTGCAAATGGTGTAGGGGATAAGCACAATGCTTTCTATTGTACACAGTTGTGCTTTCAACTTTATTTTACTACAGGTGTGTCTTTTGACTGCTTGGGTTTGTTTTTAATATCATCCTGTGTGAAAGGGCTGTAAAAAACGAGAAAAAATGTTTGCCACACTCAGTTGCTTTCTATGTGTTGCACATATACTCATAACCTTTGGTAACTATATAAATTTTAAATGCGGAATGGTAGAGGGACCCGCATTTTGGAAGCAAATATTCTTTCTTACTATTTTCTTCGCCTTTTTCACTTAACAAAACCCTACTTTTAGTTTTATAACAAATCTATCTTCGTCAGAAAGAGCACAAACTAGTTGAAATATTTTAAATCAAATTTTCTTATCATAACTCTCCCATTTTACTATTGTTCCTTCCTTCCAATTCTGCAAGTCAGCAAATCAACTGTAGCTCTTTTTTTTTTTTTTTTTTTTGTTTGTATTTGATATGGATTAGACCTTTTAACTTAAATTTAGATCCATAATCCAGTAACTATATAGAAATCCATTGCTGATATTCATAATTTCACGTGATGATGAAATAATGATGCTTTTTTACTAAATTTTTTGATTTTTTGCTTTCTAGGTTATGTTTAACTCATTGGTGATGAAATTGTTTACGTTAAATTGAGTAACGTGCTGTTAACTTAAATTTATATCCATGATCTAGTAACTTTATAGAAATCCATTGATGATATTCAAAATTTCACGTGATGATGAAATATTGATGCTTTTTTACTAAGATTTTTTCAATTTTTTGCTTTCTAGGTTATGTTTGACTCTTTTCTTTATTTCTTTATTTCAATTGAGTAACACGCTAAAGTTGGTTGTGTACACCCCAACGACAGCATAAAGACTGCAACTGTGGCTCATTTTTTGGTTGTTGTATTATAAGCAATCCGAAAAATGTTTTTCCCTTTGAAAATAAATATTTTATCATTCCACTTAGATTGCATAAGTAAGGTATTTTTTTCATTTGGTCCTAGATGTTTTACTTCAGCCTTATGTGAAGTTGACCTTTGCTCACAGAAAAATTGAGATACAATGTGTAATAAAACAATTTCAACTTCAAAATAAATTGCCTGTTTTTCATTTCTGACAAAAAAAAATATATGGCATAGGCCAAAAGTATAAACCCCATAATATAAAAAAAATATACATTACTGTAAAATAAACATTAGATAAATAACGTTTTTTTCGTGTACTTTTTTCCTTTTGTTTTATTTGTATATATACACATGCAAAATCATATGATTTTTTGATTCCCATAGTTTTGTAAAAAGTTGCCAAAGTTAGAGTGACAGCCCGAAAATAAGAATAACGTCTCATTGTGTCAGCCCCCATAGCCACTTACTTATGTTCCTAAATGTCGCTTTTTTTCTCTCATTAAAATGGAACTGGCAGCTTTTAAAGTTATTTTATGTTTCTTCCTTTTTTATTCAGCAAATCCGCAACAAACAATACGCTGAATTTTCGATTACAGTTATATTTTCATGCTGGCAAGTAATGTCATTTTAAGCAATTTAGGATCTATTCTGTTGTATGCAGAATGCTTTAAATTAGGAATTTCGTGACAAATTTAAAAAGAAGAAAAACCATGCAACACATTTGCAATTTTTTTAGAAAATCACAACATACTTTCTCCAAAAAAACCACTTTATGAAATTTGTTAACACCGTCCTAGCCAATAACCTAAACGAAAAAACCCCCACCAGAGTTGCCATTCTTTTTCAAGAATATTTTTTGAATTTCAATGCCCTTTCAGCGAATAGGGCGAATAAATTTGCATCAAAAATTAAATCCAGATGACCGCGACGCACTCGAAATTATTTTTGAAAATGTATGTACATATATTTGTAGCACGGATATTGTTGCAGTGCCAACAGTTTTCCTGCTGCTTTACGCTACAATACATGGCGATAAGAATACGAAACATAATCATGTTCGAAAGATTTAGTATATCAAACATCAAGTTTTACAATAATCCTTGCAGGGAATTTCACTTTTATGTACACTTTATCTTTTCCTCTTTGCAATCAATGTAAAAATATTTCTTCATTATTCAATTAAAATTAAGAGATTAAGAGAAGATTGTTAAATTTCAATCTTGGGCGAAAGCATTGTCAGTATTACGTATGGAGAAATCTATAATTTCAACTAGACATCGGCCAAGTTCTTCCATAACCATTTTTTCCGTTTTGTACGCCGGCAAGCCATTCTTTTCACATTCATCCGCCTGCGTAACCATGCATTGTATGGTAGCGTCAATAACTTCTTGAGTGATGAAATTGCATTGTTGCTTTTCCAATGACGGCGACGTGTTGTTGGATACAGCCAATAGTTCAGCGCCGTTTAAATTAGTTTTCCAGATTTCCTTTATTATCCTCTCAGTTTTAACCGACACCACATTGTTTAAATTAACCCTTTCGTAGGTACGTTTTTGCGCTGGCATTGAGCCATTTGTTGACATTTGATTCGTTGCATTTGCTATTGTTACCATGATCTTTGGATCTATTGGATCCATATCCAAGTCCGGTCGATCTTCAACGTTCCGACATCCTTTTTCGTTCGGGAATATTCAAATTACTCCAATTCTGAATTCTATACATTTCTATAAGTGTACTTACCATAGCATTTGCAATTAGAGCTGCAGGGTATTTTTGCTTCATAGCATTCGCAATAATTTTTCAGGCAACCTGAACGTTTGCAGTTGCAACCTTTATTATGTAAGCGCATATCACTTTGATCTCGACCAGCTATAATTTTCGGTCTAAAATAATTAATGATATTTAATATTACTTCGATTTTCTAATGACATGTACTTCAAGGCCTCCCTCACAGCAAATTAAAATTCAAATTTAGAAAAAAAAAAAAAAACTAATACTCAATTGCGCAAATAGTTATTAGGTAGAAGACTTTTTACTTACTTAAAAGCGCTTGGATTTCTGCCTAAACAATTTTTAATCGCATGCTGGCGCTCGTCTTCGTGTTCCAGATTATTGTAACAGTCTTTGCAAGTACAGTTTATACAGAATTCTCCATTTGCAAAGCAATCGCAATATAGTTTTAGGCATTGCGATTTACTGCAATTACAATGTTTGCGACGTATACCTCCAACTAACATTTCCTCTTTACTTTTAGTGTCTTCCAATAATGGTGGAGTAGAATTTGCCGGCAATGGTTTGATATTAAGTTTTGATTTCGCGACCGTTGAATCCAAGGGCTCTTCTTTGATTTTCACTGCTAGAAATGTAGAATCTGAAGGGTTGACCGTCGGACTATTCCCGCTACTGTGCGAGGGAGTAGCCGGTGTTCTCAATTCCTGCAATTTCTGGTGCTGCTGAGCGTTGAATATAATAGGTTTACTTATAGAACTTAATGATATTGCTGTCGTCGTTGCTGTTGTGTTGTCTGTGTTATTACTTTTCAAAACACTGTACAATTGCTGTGATTGCGTTGTTTGAGGCTTTAGAACACTGTACAAATTTTTTGTATTGTTGGTGGCGCTGATATTGACACCAGAAGAAACAACAGGAGTAGTCGTGCTGCTTTTCGTTGTGTCCTTAGTGACCAATACCATTTGTGCATTTACACGACCCTGTATTTGCACACCGTTATTTAAAGCCCTCTGCATACTGTTAGGGATTAAAATTAGTCTCTTGGATATTGCAGGCTTCTTGTTCTCCGGTGCACCAGACGAATTATCTGCAAGCTCTGGTTCTATACTTTCGGAAATTTTATGTTTTCCTGTTAGAGCCGCCTGGGTCGGAAGTGTTGACGACCCATTTCTGATCAGCGTTACGGTTTTGATTTTGTCGCTGCTTATTGGCCTCAAAGTCGGCGCAGTAACAATGGTTTTCTGAACTTTGGAGGCTACAGGTGAAAATGTACTGGTTGTAGTATTTGTTTTCACAATTGGTTGCGTGACCACGAGCTTATTATAGGCTGCACGTTGCACCTTAAAATGCTGCGGCACAGAATTTAAAATCTTTGCTTTCTGTATCGGTCCCACACTGCTGGTGGTGTCAACCTTTGTATTAACCGCAGTAGCTGCAGCGAATATTGTATTTGTTGTAGTTGTTGAAGCTGTTTTCGTAGATTGTGTAGATTTTGGAACCAATTTCGTATCGGAAACAACGCGAACATATTGAAGTCCCGTTTGTCCTGGTATTTGTATAGCATGGCCACTGACTTTTGGACTGCTATTAGCGGATGTCGTGCTAACGCTGCCCGCTGTTGTGGTTATGCTTTGGGATTTAGGAGAAAATTTAATTAAATTTTGATTGGATACAATAATTTGTTTCCCACCAGGACTTTGCACTACAATCGTTTTAGAATTGCTCGCGATATTCTCCCCAGTTGAACTTTTCAGTAGCGTTCTGGAAACCGGCAAAACATTTATGTTACTAGGAGTAGTGGTAATAGTTTCTGCTGAAGACAAAGGTGTCAATGCCTTCACAGGAGTTTTTATTAGTACTTTTCCTTGTGCGGAGATAATCCTTTTTCCGGCTAAAGTGGCAGGAGACAAGGTCATTGTAGAATTTTTGCCGGGGATAGTAGGTCTAACGTGTACGAATTTGCCATTAGGGGTTCGAATCATTTGCAATACAGTCTTATTGACATTGCCGACCGTTTTCGCAGTACTCGTGACTGGGGACGTTATAGTTTTTAACAGCATTGGATTGCTGCTTCCGGATGACTGCAGCTTTACACCGGTTAAGGTGCCAGTAGTGCCAGTACTGGCTTTTTGTATAAAAATTTTTTGTCCACTAGCCTTATAAGCGGTCTTCACTTGCCCCATATTCGCGGCAGTCGCTATTACAGAGTTACTGGTATTGGTATGATTGGTGCTAATTAATACAGTATTCTTGGGAGTCACTTTTATAATGTTATTTACCAACGGTATAGACATTTTCGGTAATATATTTCTACTGTTTAAAACGACAGGACCTGACTGCGAAACGCTCGCGACACCTTCGCGAGGCATACCTGAAGCGCCTGCTGCTATAATCGTTTTTGGTAAAGGCGGCTTTTTAGGTACCAAGGCATTAACGCTATTATCGGTTTTCGTTTTTATTTGTTCATGCAATTCTAAAGGATCGCCTTCAGTCAGTGATTCGCCATTTTTCTTAATCGGCGTTGCATCCAATAACTCATCAAAACTTATTTCGGATAAAGAGGTTGCTTCATGCAAAGGATCTGAAAAAAATAAACGAGAACCAAATTTAAAAAAAAAGCTATTATTTCTTCAAAGTTCATGTGCAAAATTGTTGTATAAAACTTCGCATTATTTTAAAAGTATTTATATATTTATTTACTTCTTTTATTGCAATATCTCAATTTTTAACATTCACAAGTTTGTATTCTCTATGACTTAAAAACTAGGTAGTTTTAACCAATTGGGCAAAATTAAATCGATTCAAATGCCTGCATACATAACTGCACTCCAATTTAAAAATATCAGCAATCAAAGTGAATGTCGACGTAGAAAATTATTTCAACGAAAACTTATAATATAAATATCTTAATAAAGACGGGCTGCTCAGTTTAGTTGTGGGACTTATTTTTTGGCTGCTTCTTTTCTCTCACGTGCCTTTTTACCTTCTGTGAGAGCTAAACGTTCAGCTTCGTTAAGCAACGGTAAAGCTTTAGTGACGACGCCGGTACCAAGTGTTAGATTACCATCACGTAATGTGAAGCGTTGGCCTTGTTCGAGTACCATGGGTCGCAGTAAACGCAGAATGAGTTTTGTGTCTTCGCCTGGCATTACCATTTCTTTGTCTGGAATTTGCACTTGCGTAGCGCAATCCCAAGTACGGGAAAACATTTGCAATTGTATAAAAGACACAAAAGGCTTAGGACGCCCTCCTTCCTCTTTAGAGAGTATGTACACTTGCGCTTCGAACTGATCTAAAGCTTTGACAGAGCCAGGTTTGCACATGACCATGCCACGTTTTATGTCGTCCCGTTTAACACCGCGTACTAATGCTCCAAGTTGATCCCCAGCCTGTGCTTCATCAAGAATTTGATGAAACATCTCGATACCTGTTACCGTGGATTTGATAACTTTATTAAAACCGACGAACTCGCATTCCATCCCTTTCTTTATGGTGCCACGTTCCAAACGTCCTGTAACTACGGTTCCTCGGCCGGGTATAGAGTACACATTTTCTACTGGCAATAAAAAGGGCTTATCTAATTCGCGAACGGGTGTGGGAATGAAATTGTCCACTTCTTGGAGCAACTTTAGAATTGCCTCCGAACCAATTTCAGGACTTTTTCCTTCCAAAGCACAGAGCGCTGACCCTTTAACGACTGGTACTTTCTCGCCATCGTAACCCATTTCAGTTAATAGTTCCCGCATTTCCATTTCCACTAAGTCAACCATTTCCTGATCGGCAGCATCCACTTTATTGATGAACACCACAATGTGATTAATACCAATTTGCTTGGCCAAAACCAAATGTTCGCGGGTCTGAGGCATAGCACCGTCGGTAGCAGCTACAACCAAAATGGCGCCATCCATTTGCGCTGTGCCCGTTATCATATTCTTTATATAATCAGCATGCCCTGGACAGTCGGTGTGACCGTAATGCCGATTTTCAGTCTGATATTCTACGTGAGCAACATTGATTGTAATTCCACGTGCTTTTTCCTCAGGAGCATTATCAATTTCATTGTATTTCTTGCTTTCGGCCAATTTCTTGTCGGCCAATACTTTCGTAATGGCAGCGGTTAAGGTTGTTTTGCCGTGATCTACATGGCCAATAGTGCCCACATTACAATGAGGCTTGTTGCGTTCGAATACCTTCTTCTCAGTAGCATAATAACGAAGCAGTTTTTGGTTGCCCGCTATTAAAACGTAATTTTGCGGCAAATGAAACGAACGATTTAGAAGAACCGACGAAGCGCCGCGTGCGCTGAAAAGCGCTGAAGTTAAGACTCTGCGAGACAGAGCACCGCTACATCTACCCAAAACGGCTGAATTAACGCCGCTAGCATAACGGATCGCCATAATCGCCGACATATTGATTGTTTATTTCTCTGAAGATTTTGGATGAGTAATATAAGCACAAAGTTTCATCTTCTATATGAAAACTTTATACTTACATAGATACTAAGAATAAAACCAGCAAGCCGTCCTCAATTTATTAAGCAAATCCAGTGATAGAATAGTAATTGCGTAAAACTAACCCCCAAAATATAAAAATAAATGTCAAAATTATGTTGCCAGTCCAAAAAAATTCATTATCACTTGCAGGTATGGTAACACAACCAAAAAACAATATGGCATCCCAAACACAATGAAAGAAGAAACATAAAAATTGGAGCCAATGACGAAAATGCGATATTTTTATACTTGATTTTACAAAAGTAATGAAAATATCATACCAAGGCATCCGATAAATAGTTTAACTTCATAATGAAGGCTCTTATGAGTTTTTAAGAGCCCTTACAAATAGTATGATCATTTTAAGAAAACATCTTTAATATTAATAGTTCGTTTAAACCACATTTTGTAATCAACCTCTTTTTATCTTTTATTTCATTTCTAAAGTGCGTTTAGATTTCTTTGTTTTTTTTTTTTCATCCTCAAACTAATAATAATCCCTAACATCCATTCGTTAAGCTTAAGACAAAATAATTTTGTTGCGTTATATGGCAGAGGAGTCAGCAAGAACGCAAAACAACAATTGAAAATTTAATTTGAAATGCAAAATGTAAAACTAATTGTAAGCACCTAGCTTAACTTACCCATGCTTCCGCTGATATCTGCTGTTTTAAAGATAAGTCCGTGATAAACTACTTTGGATGATATTTTTCCAAAAATCCTGGTTGAATATCTGTTTATGGCAAATCCTCGGTAAATAAGTAAACACCATACACTATGCGAAAGTTGCTTTAGTTATGTCCATTACACTTATAAAAAAAGCGCGTTTTTCCTTATTCTCATTATTCTATTCTAGATTCTATTCTCTTTTCACTTACACACTATTATTTATAAATTTTTTAACTTTCTTCTTAATTATATTTTGAAAATAATTTCAAATTACTTCTTCTACACGAATGTGTAGAAGAAAATTTTCATAAAAATTTTTCTAATATTATAGTTGCCAACATGTGCAGTTATTATATTAAAAAGGGATTTGATTACCCTAAATTCGAGAGAGAGCAGTCAAAAAGTGGGAACGCATTAATTTAGAATATATACGAAGGAAGAAGACTTTTGCTTTTTAATAACAATGTGAAGCGTAAAACCAAACCCAAACTTCTTTCTGATAGACCTAGTTTTCCACTTTACTTGCACTACTTTCCATTTCATAAAATGTTATTAGTTGTTATAAAAAAATCCCCAAGCAGAGTTGCACATACTTGAACATAGGCTTTACAAATTTTCAAAAAAATATATTTAAGCAACTTTCCAATTAAAACATATAAAAAATTAACTTCACTTCAGCAAAGTTTTGAACAAAAATATTAATTGTTGAGATACTATAGAATAAAGCTTCATTTCCCTGGTATTACAATCTCGTTAGAAGGTCGCAACTGTATTTTACGGCTACGTAAAGTGTAGGTGCGTTCATCTTCGCCTGCAAGAAACAGAAACAGAAATTATTCATCATATTGCCTATATAAATCTGAAAAGCGGCATATCGTTATTCGTTTATGCGGAGTTTTTTCTTTTGGAAAGAATTTTGCTTTCAACTAAAAGAAGGCAATATGCAATAATAGTTTAATTTTGTTTAAATTAATAACTAGTACCTAAATTCTCTCTAAAAGTCGCTAAATCCTCTTCGTGACTTCCATTAGTAGCTTCTTCCTCACTTATTTGTCCATTTTCATTGTCATTGATAAGAAAATTGAATTTTTTTACACGCAATTTCTCGTTAAACATTACATTCTTCAATTTACTTTTGGCAGTTCCAGGAGTTTTCAAAATTGATTTACACTCGGCTCTTGGTGTCTCCAAAGCCGAATCCACCATAGTTTTACGTCTGCCATCATTTATTACAGGTGGCGTTTCATACAAGTTTTTTCTACATATTAAGTCGCTTTTACGTGCTTCGATGAAATTTTGAAAAGAGTTAAGGTTTTTATTGAATTGTTTAAGAGATGGCGAAATTAACTGATTTGGCGATGCTTCTTCGGGAACCAGTGAAGATCGTTTCTTGCCAGCGGGGAGGAGTAAAACCGTAGCTGCCTTTGAAAAGGATTTGCGATTTTTCACTGTAACCGAAATATGATTAGGTGTACGTTCTCCAGAACCTTGTCTTGGTGTTAAATTTCTGCAAATGCTCGGCCGACGAAGCGAGCTTATGACAGGTGTCAAATTGCCACCAGCTTCTTGGCTTTCCTCTTTCAATTGTTTGGCTTTATTTCGGCGCGCTTCTGCTTGCATTTTACGTACCATGCTAATCAGCGAGCTAGGTTTACTTATCGGAACTTTATTTTTCTGAACTTTTATCATCTTGGGTTTTGACTTCTTCTCTGTTATCACCAATTCGCCAGGGTCATTCCAGTCGTTAACTTTCCAGCGAGTAAGGTTGTCAAAACGTTTATCCAAATTCTCTATTTGCAATTTAAGCATTGACCAGAATCCTTCCAAGTCTGCATCATTTATACGTTTTGTATTTTCACTGCCATCATCCGGTACAATACCTATCCCCGTGGCACGGGCTTCACATCTATCAATAAGCTCTCGAAATTGCATAAACTTCTTGCTAGTTAACAATTTTGTTTGCCCAATGGCTACATTAATCATATCGTCGCCATTCATTTCTTGCAATTTTTCCATGTTTTCCTGTTTGTAAGATTCCCAAGTGTCGCACAAACAATGTAAACGGTCGATTTCATCTTGTAATTGCTGGCGAAAATAACGTACTGACTCTAAGGTGCGGCGTACAGCGACATCTTCCTTCATTATCTCCGCAAAGTTAGCTTTAAGCGTAGAATTATGAAGGGACCCCTCGTTTTCAAATTGCAAGTATATCGAATTACGTTTGTTTGCCTCTTCCCTACGACTAACTTTTCCGCGCGATAAAGTTACAAAAGGGCTTACATAGTTGGTAGCGGTTTGATTAACCTCGTTTTTTTCTGGAGTTTTCGCATCATTAGATTCGCTTGCGATTTGCTCCTCGTTGTTTAATTGAGGAGTAACGACATCCTTAATAATTTCGTTCTCTTGTACCTCCTCTTGATCGCACACACTATTATCAACTAAGGAATAACGCATAAAATTGAATACCCTGGGTTTTTCTACAACTTCCTTATGGGGTGACTGCAAAGATTGCTCAGAAATATTTAAACAAGGTTGCACACTTGCATGGGTCGATTCAATTGCAGGCGGCTTTTTAATTTGCGTGGAAGTAACAACTTCCATGTACGAATTAACGCTGTTGAAATCTATGGGAGTCTGTACTATTTCACTAATATCTTCTTTCAAGAGTAAGTTTTTCAAAGCTATAGAATTCTTCATACTTCTCGTTTTAATAGCATTCACTTGCTTGTTCTTCATGTTCGTTCCTAATTTAGTATTTTTACATGATTCCTTTAGCTTATCCGTTTCACGTTTCATTTGAATTGTTCTTCCTTTTTTTATGGCCCCAGTGTTTGCGCCAACCTTCGAAGTTATTCGTTCGATTATTGGTCTTGTTTTCGATAAGGGTTGCTTTGCTATTTGTGTCTGTTGGGTTTTTATAATTGTGGTGGTTTTAGACGGCAGTTTACTAGCAATTGCTGGATATTTTACAGCTCTGGGAAATGTTGGGACGGCGGGATTATCGAAAGCGCATACTAAATTATTTAATGTCAGTTTTTCCGTCGAGTCTTTAAAAGCGGCGGCAGACGTTGTCTTATGTGGAATTTGGCCTTGGTTACTTTCTTGCTTTTTATCACGTGCAAGTTTCGCGCGAGAAGATGATAACTGAGCAGCCTTATAACGCATAGAAAATGGAATTTTCATTCTCTCTTCTTCACGCAACTTTGCTCTTTTAGGTGGACTGTTTACTTTATAAATTGATTTTCGGGTTCTATGCGTAGTTGTATTCTTGTATTAAAAAAAAAAAAAAGGACAGGACAGAAAAAGTAAACCAAGAGTTATTCATAAAAGTAAAGTTTGTAAAAGTTTCATCTTTTAATATAATACCTTATAAATGAGCGGGTTCTTTAATCCCGCAGGTGCTGTAAATTGCTTGTGATCTTTTGGCACAAAGGATAATGAAGCAGAGCCTACAGGCATGAAAGGTTTTTTTTCTTTTGATGTTGTAGACATCTGCTGGCTTGATTTTTTGCTTTTTTTCCACTCAGTAAAACGTTTCAGGTATTCATTCTGTCTTCTCCACACATTAGGATTGCTCGCGTTGCACGAAATATTAGTATTATTAGTAATCTGGTTATTGCTAATGTTTTCCTTTTGCCCGTCATACTCTTTCGCTGTTCTTTTCTTTCCACTTTTGCCAGCGTCTTCATTCTGTTCAATTACTCCAATATTGCGGGCTTGTAAGTATTGTTCGGTTCTCTGTTGATGACGGCGATTTTCTTGTAGATTACGAAGGCACAAATTTCTTTGTCGCGGTGATGTTCGCGTATTAGTTTTGTACAAACTTTTATACTTATCCATTGTATTGTTTTTAGTAGATAGATGTATTTTTGTCAATTCGCAAAAGCAAATATAAATTATAGAGTCCCGTTAATTCCTTTTGGCGCTGATTGACAATAGTTAATATTTTGTTTGAATTAAAAAATTCCTCGAGAATGTCCCTTTGTTGGAAAGTTTTCCAGTCAGCGTTTCAGCGTTGCATTCTTTACGATCCAATTAGCACTGATTTTATTTACGATCAATTAAGTTTTTATGTTCAATATCATGCGATATCAAGAATTCGTAATAAAATTAAATTTTTCAGTATTATGAAAAAGACTAGATGAAATCCAACATTTTGTAAATAAAAAAATAATACTTATTAGCAAATTAAACTTTAATCCAAAAAAAATATATATCAAGATAAAGTCTATATGAATTTTGATCATAAAGGTTGGACATTATATGAAAAATAAATTTTTATGGTTCGTTGGGGTTTTAAACATCATAGAGTTCACTTTTCTCCTACTAAACTATTTCATTAAGAACGGTCGATATAGATGAAAACGAAGAGATCTCAAAGTATATTAACCCATTGACAAGACCACAAATAAAACACTTGTTCAAGTTGTGATCAAATGATATTTATGATATTTATTGAGTCGTACAAATGTTAAGTTTATTAGAAAAATTACATAAGTGATATAATCTTAAGAACTCAGGCGTGGCTGCACAAGAATGTACAATGACGCTGCCTAAATCTGATTTATATTTCTTACTTAGCGCCACTACTTTATGAAGCGAAATGTACATACGAGAAATCCGTTACAATGAAATGCTCATTAAAATTTCTTGACTTAAAGCGTAAGGTGTCTGGGCTTTCCACATGCATGCATTTTAATAATATTATATCCATTCCCTCTGATAGTTGCAACAATCGTATGTTTCAATTAACCATTCAATTAACGGTTATATAGAATCGCTGGATATTTTTGCATAATGTTATCTAGTCTTTAATAACCTAGTAGCCTTAAAAACGTAATGTTGGCCTGATCCGGATGGTATGCCATCTTGCATCTTGACGTCTTGTGATAATAGTCTACGTAACCCTTTAACCCTCTCATTTGAATTTTATCTTATGAAAGGATGTTTTCCTGAGCTGATGAAAGAACCCTTCTTTAAAAGAACGAAAAATTAGGCGTTTATCTGAAATTATTCAGGCGTTATTCTTCTTCTTTCTTTCAGTCATTGGCGTTGATTTTATCAACCTCAAACATGCTCCTATTAAAGGTGCATCTGTTATGGCAAAGCTGCTGGAACTTACTTGCAATATTTGTAGCGGCTTCGTGTAAGCAACATGATATTATCTATAATGACTCTTCTAAGGCTGTTGGTAATGTTGACGAAAAAGTATATTTGCATAAGTTGTATTTGCCCCTACTAATTTGATTACGTGGTTTGAGCCATATCTGAGGTGTGTTGTCTAATTCTTGTACATCATGACCTATGCAAGTCACATCTGCTACTTTTTAACTTATTCGTTAAGGACCAACCAAGACGAAATTATTTTACGCGTTTAATACATTGGAGGACGCTTACTTTCAGTGCTATGCGAATGTGTCACCTAGCTTAACGTTTTGTAGCAGACTTATACTCGATTTTACATTGAATTTTATGAATTTAAACATCCTTACATTCTCCTTACCGTACTTGTTAGGCGCATATTGAAGAATTACGTTGAAGTAAGGTCCGCAAACTAGAAGTCAAAAGGCAAAAGTAAGCTATAAAGCGGTCATAAATTCATTTCAATTATCAGGCGATTGACCCACTTTAAACTTCGTGTTTATCTTGTAATAGCTATTATAATCTTCATAGTATTTATTTAAATGCCTGCTTGCTCCTTCGCGTAGGTGTAACCATAGATTACTTTTCTTGTTGTACACCTTCCTATTTGCAACTCTCTATGGAACTCTGCAGTAGATAGTTTAGTGAACGACTGCTTTTTCGTATATTCTAGGTTTTCTCCTAGTTTGGAAATTGATGTTTTTCGCCACTCATTCGTAATTAGTAGTTAATGTTATGAAATTTTGTTTTGGAATAAATAAATGAATATTGGAATGGCTATATACTCTATATATAGATGTATATTGTATATATATAAATACATGTATATAAAGTTTCATATCTATTCTTGAGAAATTCAGTCAATGAAGTGTCATTTATTTCCGAAAATTCCGTATATAATAAAAATTTTTTTTTTAATAATAATCTAAGCCGTTTGCGCCCATTCCAATAAAGTGCAGTCAAAATAAAAACAAACAATGCTTTCCAAAAAGCACGTTCGACAACAAAAGGGAAACAATATATTTTAAGACGGGCAATCAAGGAATTCGAAGGTAATATGCATAAGCAACCAAGTTAACACAGGAAACGTTTACGATAAAAATCGCTTCACTCCTTGACAACAAAATCCTTCAAAAACACGGACATGATTTCAAATCTTAACAATAGCGCCTCCACATTTACATTGAAAATTGTATCGTCTATAAATATTGATATTTCCTCATAATTTCTTCGCTATGCGGGCAATTTTTTACTTTTTTTTCTTATGTTGAGAAATGCTTGTTTATATGTACACTTGTTTCCTTGACTGTACTTTGTAAACAACTTTTATTGCGATTTAACTTAACAAAAAGAAAACGTACAAAAAAATATCACAATATCAATATCCTTTGTGCCCACGAAAGCGCATACGATTATCCAACTAAAATTTGACAATTTTTAAATTATAATTTATGTTTACAGTGTATATGACTTACCAAAGATCGTTTGCATTCAAAAAAAGTGTTTCGCAAAACTTGGCATTCCTCCGGTACTAAATTACTCTGCAAACACTCCCGGGGTGTACGTTTGTCCTTTAAGAGTATTTTGCGAAGTCCAGTGCAATATAATTTTTAGTTGTACTTTTGTTACTTTACCTTTTTGCAACAATCACTTTCCAGCAAGCACATCTTCAAATCAGCTCTTACTCCAGCGCAAGCTGAAGTATCTTCCAATCTTTCATTGCCTTCAAACCGCATATCTTAATGTAGTTATAAAAAAGCTTATTCTAATTTTTTATTCCAAATATTTGAGAAAAATACATGTGAAATTAACAATAGGTTTTTAAACTAAAAAATAAGCGTGGAAAGAAATATATTTAAAATTTTGTTAATTATATTATTTTAATATTTATTAATTATTGCCTGAGATTGCATGTACGACATTGGAGATATTAAAAGAAATTTGGGATGGGAACTAAAATATTAAAATATATAAACTTTACAAGTTGAAAAGTTTTTTTTTTCATATTTCATTGCATTTTCGTTTTCTTCTGTGATTCAGCAAATCAATTCGCTGTAACACGTAAAATTTTTCATTTCATTTAAGTTTACTTTATTGTTTGTCAAAACTTCGAAATAAAATAATAACTTGATTGGACTTAGCTTCGAAATTGTAAGAAAGATACCAATTCAGAAACATTCCTCTTGTCGGTTAACAAAGAGCTACGTTGTTAGTATGTAAATATCGATGGATAACTTCATACACAAAATCAACTGTTCAAATTTTTTCTTAGTTTGAGAGATAAACGTTTGTTGCAGAAATGATTCGTACTTTTAATATTAGCATTATAACACACAAAGAAGCGGATAAAATAAATTGGGGAATTTAATTTCTTTAAAACTTTACAAAAATAATTAAAAATATGGATCTAAATAAAATTTCTACACGCCTTGATGTTAAGTTAGATGTATATAATAAGCGACCAGAATCGTTAAAATTCCACAGATGGACAAAATGTGAAGTGAAAATTGAAGCTATCAAATGTTTGCCGTGCTTTCTGCGCGTATCAATAAAATCTTTGGAAGCTCAACAAGATAGATTCGGAGAATTAAGTATATCTATATCTATAAATGCACCAGGCGTAAATATTAGTTTGGCAACCTCTCGTACAAAGCTTTATTCATATGGCTTGTTTTGGACTCATAATCGTCGTAGTTGTTTTATTTATTTTGCTTTGGAAACTGAGTTAGCCTGCCGTAAGCATATGAAATGGTTAAAAAAAGCCATGAAAAACCTGGATTTACATCAGCAAATGGTCTTGGAGCAACGTCGAAATAGTCGTGGGGCCTTGGATCGACCAAGCAAACAAAATAGGTTAATAATAAAAAGATCGAGTGAATATATGTATAAATATATAAAGTATATGTATCCTTATTTTTTGTAGCTTTCTTAAAGGAATAGTTACCACTTTAGGTGCGCTGCCAAAAGTACCAGACAACACTGCCAACGGCAATTTTAATAGCTTCCCCCGTGTTTCTGATATTTATGAGGAAATTCTTGAAGGCCAATCATCGCCACGGGTCTCCCGCAGATTTTCCCGTGCATCAGTTGCTTCGGGAATTTATGAAGAAATGAAACCTTGTCCATTTAATTTTCATTCAGTTTTGGAAGAAAACCTACAGATGAACACGCCGCCACCTTTGCCTCCACCGCGTAAAAGGCTGAATACATTCGATAATGCCGTAGAAGGAGCTTTACGGCGTTCTAGGACAAATCCGGAATCAGAATTAATAAAAAAGGGATGTAGAGATGATCGTTTTGCCCGTACTAGTGGAAATGTAGGCCGTGAAAAACGTGCTGAGAGTGTAAGTGAGAGTTCTGTTTGTAGAGTGGATGATATATTGAATAAGGTAAAGGAAGTCCAACAAGTTCAAGTGAATTACAAAGAAGAAATTTTAGAGCCTTCACCCGGTTTTATAAAGGCCAACAAACGCAATAGTTTTTCTAGTCCAGATTTATCAAAAATTAATCTCCTAGAAATATTTGATGAAGCTCAATCAAAAAAGTTGTTCCCTCTAGGGGATTCAGCTGAAGATTTATTCGAAAAATGTGATGAAGTCTTCTTTGCCGTAAATAACCATAATATAAGTTCATGCAGCTTAGACGATTTCAGTCTAAATCCCTTTAAGGGTTTGGATACAAAAAGGAATTCGGCCGAAAGTTTGAACATATCTGAACAATTGTCGGCAAATTTTAATTTTTCTGCTTGCAATTCATCAGTAGTGAATTTAGTTGGTGCTAGCGGTGCTGTTCCCTCATCAAGCCTTATAAGCCAGAACAAAATTCTTACCGATGACTTGACCGGCTATTGTGTTATGGCACCAATTAGACAAAAGAGAAAAGAAACTGCACAAATAGGTGCTATTGCCACTTCGTGCTCTGCGAGTACTACGAGTACTTCGTCCGGGCATTTGACAGGTTCGTGTGATACTCCTTCGACATCATCAGGAGTAAATTGTGCGAATATTGCAAATGATGTGAAATTAAATAATCTGGAAGCCGGAGCTGGAGAAAATAACCTCATAACTTTATCGGCAGAAGCTAATGATAACAGTACTATATATGAGGATATGGAAGTTGTTTCTCCTCATGCGAACAATTCTACTCTGATGAAGACCTATGAAAATATGACACCTACGGTAAATAAAGGTTTTATGGGTAACCTTTATGAGAATTTACTAACCTTTAAAGCGACTCAGGAGTTAGAACACGCTTTGCCGAGGAAAATGTGCACAAGTACTCCTACCGACGAGGACAAAGCAGAAAGAGAAAATTCTGCCATTAGAAAGGATGAAGGTGAGGAAAGTTATTACCAAACTCCAAGAAAGTCATTGATAAGCGTTGATGAAAAAATACCTTCGTATTATCCAAATAGTTGCGGGACGTTGAAAACTAAACGCTCTACTACAAGTCCTCTGCAAACAAAAGTTCCTTTTAATGGTAGGGAAAAAGGCAAAGAAGGTTTAACTTTGGGTCTTAAACATTTGGTTAATATTAAAATGCAACGCGAACGAAAGGAAAATCTGTACATGTCGTCGCCGCAAAAAATAATGGAACAACGCGGTAAAGAAAAAAAATTAATGAACGCTCAAAGAATATCGGAAAATGTCTATGCGGTCAAACAAGATAATATGATGACCTTTAACAATAACAAAAATAATAATAATTACAATGAGACTGAAAAATCGCAGCACATTAAGCTTAGCAAAAATGGAAGAGAATTAATCGATTTATCTTTGCTACCAAAGATAGATTTTAGATTTGATGATATTACTAATTCAACAGAAGTGATTTCTCCTCTACATAATAGCGAGAGAAAACCGAGTGGCATTGTTAGTTTCACGGAAGCCGAAACTGAATACGAACGTTACTTTCAGGCTAGTAAAAATGCTGCCCGGCTTTTGCATAAATATGCTACCTTTGCTCCTAAACCGCCGGGGCGGGCCCAACATCAATTGCAATCTCAACAGAGTCAACCGCATCAACAACTGATGGTTCAACCATCTTATCCTAAACTGGCATCATCTATTCTTACAAAGTCTTCGTACTCACCTCCAACAACAGATGCGCCAATTTCAGCCAAGAAATTCAGTTCATTGCCGAGTTTTCGAAAATTTGATTTGTCACCTATAAAAATGAAAATTCATAATGCCTTGCAACGCCATTAAAGTGAGAGCCTGACAGCTGTTGAACTGCTGCAAAGACATTTCGAAAACGTTAGTCTTTATTATCCTGATTATTATATGCTTCTAAAATCGATATTGCATTTGTTCTTCCATTTAGTTTACGTTTAATCCCTTTTTAAACGTTTTCGTTATCTTTAATATTATGCATGGGAATTTGATGTTACATTGCTAATAATGATTTTTCAAAAACAATTTTTAGCGGACAATGGTTTATTGCTATCTGTTAGCAAATCCAGCGCTTTTCATACGCATATTTAAAGCTTACCTTAGGATATGGACTGAAATTGTTGTCAGTATTATTTTAAAAATATTCTTATTTAATTATAAAATTTTGAATTTACTTGCTTTTGAATACTATTAATGATAGATATGAATCTGGTTTCGTTTAAAAAAAAACTAAAATCGATGTGCATTTAAGACTAGAAAAAAAATTAAGCTTACCTTCAGAATTCAATTAATTAAAAAAAACATATTTTTTTTTTTAAAGACATATTAAGAAAATTGTTTTTAAATATTTGTTAAAAAAATTTAAAGCCAACTACGCTTTCGCTATATGTATACATATCAATATAGATAAATATAAACAAAAAGTTACTGCTGAAGAAAAATTTAATAATTGTTAAGAAACTGCCGCTCATCCAGAACAATAATGAATACCACCAATTTACTCAATAATAATATTTAATAATTTATAATAAAATTTAATATACATTAGAAGTAAGCAAATATTATGCAATTGTATAATAATATACTCATTACTTTAACCAATGGAGTTGTCAGTCAGGCAATTAACCTTGAACATTGATTTGATTGTCGCTTTGTGTGCCCGCTACCGAAGTTTGCTTTCTATTACTCAACAATTTCGGCGACTGCGTGTCATTACGGCGTGGGAAGGATTGTTCTGTTTTTCCAAATTACACGTTAACAGAGATTCCCAGCATCGACGACAGGTGCTTAATTGAAAAACCTGAATAACTGAATCCTCCAGCCTGCAGCCAGCACCTTTTGCAGGAATGCATTTAAATTGAATCAAACTCTTACGCTTATCATAAATTGTTTAGTTAATCTAATAAGCATTAAATAAGCATTCAAAAGGTTGAAAGTTGTGTTTAATCTAACATTTGAGATTAGGTAATGTCTTCACAGTTTATTTCTTAACATTAAAAATCCAACAAAATCCCGACATATAAAAATGCTTAACTGTTGTATCTTGCATTGCTAAATGCTATATTTAATTAATTATTTGTGAACATTTACAATTACTACGACATAAACAAAAAAAAATTACAATAAATTTTTTTTTAATATTTTATATACAGTGTTGAAGAAGCTTCGCAAAAACTTTTATTAAATAAATTAAAAAATTTTAAATAGTTTTTTAATCGTATCTTACGATCAAATGTGTTTTGATATTGTTTTGATTTCATAAAAAAGCAGTTATAGGTTGTTAATGACACAAATTCTTATAAAAGTTGAAAGCCAGTTATTAGGAAGAAAACTTTCTCTACTTTGAATAGGGCTTGAGGAATAGCCAAATATGTTCGCAATATTTTGTCTCCAATAACCCTAGTAAGTGTTCCTGTGCTTGCCTGTTGTTCCAACATGCTTGTCAGAAATGTAGGTACCATTCCTTCATTACTTGGACTTTCTGGCTTATATAGTCAACTTTTGCTTAGGTCCAATTCTCTCTACAATCTCTAATTGCCATAAAAATATATGAAATTTTGGTTATGAGTATACAGTTCCTCTTCTTGGAGTATTTATAAATTCTTTTTCTATCTCTGAATCTTTAGGCACTACATAAAAGAGTAAGGCACCTCCGGTAATAAAGAAACTGAAAACAGTGGTAAAATTGTCTTTAATAGAATTTTAAAATTAAACAACAAATTTTGCCTCATTTTACCTTTTCTCTTTCAGAATATCTTTAATAGTTTTCTCCAAGTGGACTTTATGCACGGTGCCCAGCTTATGATTTTCATAATATACATTTAAATTATCTACAAAATATTTACCCTCTTTGTCTTGAGGTAAAGGTTCAGCAAACATACTCGTTAAACAGTCAAACATACTGAAAAGAATTTTGAATGAAAACTTTTTTTTTTGCTTTGAAAATTCTGACATACGTGACTTCTTCGGATAACTGTTGTTGAAAATCACTGAACAGAAATTCAGGATAGGAAAATGCAGCCGGCCATATTAATGTTTTCTGATCTTCGTCATCAAAGTGAACTGGAAAGTCTTCCAAGGGTGAAAATTTTGGTTTTATTAGCTCCTTCGTAATCAAAGATTTGCATTCGAATTTTACTTGGCGCTCTTCTAATGCGTCTGTTAAACGATGAAACTCTTCTAAATCCCTTTTAGCTTTTATAAGTTGCTTACGGTGATTACGTGCTGTTTCCATCTAAAACAAATACAAGATTTCTTAGAAATGACTTTCGTTTTATATTAAGATTACTTGCAGGGCTCGGTCGATATGGTCATGGGTTAAAGAGAATTTTGTTATTGGCAGAGTATGTTCTCCTAAGAACTTGCAAAGTGCGTTAAATTTAAGAAAATAAAACAAACCCATACAAGATACTCTGTAGTCCGCATACATTAGGGCAGTACGAAATGCGTAAAACCTAAGCTTCATTCTTGTGTTTTGTCGTATACTCTTGGTGAGTGGAAGTGTGTGAAATCCAAAAAAATTAGTTCCCTCTGTTTCGAAAAATCGAAAAGAAAACTTAATAGGTGTACAATGCTGACTATGATTACCACAATCAAAAATCAGCATTTTATCAAAGACTATGAATTCTGACATATTTTTTTTCATGACGACTTTTTAAAATCCGAACAAGGCAATGTACTCCAATTTGATCAGAAAATTGATCGAAAATTGCAACAACTGCGTCATCCGCAGATGACAGATAGGTATCACTCGATTTAGAAAATGGCTTTGAATAGAGGCATCTCAAGTCATTCTAGATATGCTATTCTTATTAAACTCTGTACCATAGGTACTGTAAGCTGTACTGTGTACATTACCTTTTCAAAGCTATTTTTCTTCAATAATTCTTTAGCCCCTTGGTGGTCGGAGTTGTGGTCCAAAAGTTCCTCGCATAACTGTGCGCAGAGATCAAAACGTTGCAAATGAGAAGCACATTGGGCCGCTCGCCATAAAGCTTTCTCATACTTTGGCTTATAACTTAAAGCCGTTTGAGCATCAGCTAAAGCTGACCTGAAGAAGAAAACTTGTATTAGAAGTTTAGTTAATCACTTTATAAAAAAATAAATACCTATAATTCTTTAAAAAGAATTGAGCCGCTGAACGATTGTTATAGAGAGTTGCCTGTACATCATCATTCTCGCAATTAACTTTCAGGCCTTCGGTGAAGCTATAGACAGCCATGCGGAACTTTTTATGTTTCATATAGAAATTACCGTCTTCTTTATAATTTAAAGCCAATTCATCTTTGGTATTCTCTTCGGGATCATATTTCAATTTCTGAAGACCTACTAACATGGGATGCACTTCATCGCCGGGCTGTGGAGTTTTGCGCATAAAAAACGGATGCTTCTCCATTTCCTGCAAGCATAGTAAATGTAACGATGTTTTATTGTTTTTAATCCGGCAAATGATAATTATGAAAACGAACCTCCTGCCATCTGTCTTCCGGCCAACCTTCTTCATATCGTTTCTTTTCTAAGCCATCGATGAAGTCGTCTAATTCTGCATCTAACTTTGCAGCTAACTCTAAACGATCTTGTTCGGTCCACTCCTTCTTGTCGTTAGAATTATTTAAAGACATCATAATTTGTATAATTAAATATTTAATTACTTAAAGTAATTAAAATTTTTAGCTGCGTGCTGAGGAAAGGTATGTTTAGTTAGTTAACACATTTCTCAGTGCGAGGTAAAAAAGGTGTCCATTAGTCAATTTTTCATGTAAAAATCATATGTTTTTGTTAAATTGAAGTTTTGTATGAAGCATTGTACGATTTTGTATTAAAAGTTATCTGACTTTAATTTTGAAAATTCTCTCTCAGGTTCTTGAGCCATATTTTGCGTAACTAGGCGTGTGTGTGTTTATCAGACTTACTTTTATGTAAACACGCGATTAAGCCAATTTTATTTAACCAATGTATTAGTAACCCCTTGCATCTAAAGCTAAACTAACTAGTTTGTGAGATGTGGGAGGGATTCTATATTTTTGCTCATGGACACTCCTAGGACGGTAGCCAAATGTAATTGCACGTACTTGTCTCTTGACCAATAATCGGACAGACGAAATCTCAACATACTAAAAGGAAAACAGCTGTAGAATGTATCGAGACAATGCGTGGCAGTTGAATTCGAAAAAAAAATAGCTGTAGAATGTATAGAGAGAATGCATGCTAGTTGAATTCGAAAGGAAAACAGCTGTAGAATGTATAGAAATAATGCGTACGTGCGGCCATTTGAGGCTTTTTTTGAAAATAGGGTAAAATCGAATTATCATTTTTTTTTGAAAATAGGGTAAAATCGAATTATCATTTTATACCTATCGCAAAGTCGAGTTTTTAATGCGAAAACCCTGTTAAATGGCCTCTTCACCTAAAGTAGCGCCAAATTTTTCTTACAATTTTTTAATAAAAAAGGACAATGTACGAGCGTAGTTCGTTGCGTTATGCCCATACTAGTGGTTATACCGGTTTATTTTACATTGACGATGGATATGTTAACTTGCGGATCTGATGGAGATATACGAAAATGGCAAGGCATTGATGACGACGATCCAAGTTCTAATTGCTTAGGTGAATTTGTAGTGTGCTTGGCTCAGAGAGGCGACAAGCTTTTGGCACCAGTTTTCTGTTACTAGTCTCTTATGTTTTTTCTTCTTCTTTTCCTTTTTTTTTCCTAGTCTTTATACATTTCAAAAATTTAAAAACTTCAGAATTTATTGTCATAAAAACATTTAATTAAAACAACCCTATTTGCGTTTTTCGTTCGCCAACAGCTGTCCACAGCTGTTTATCTCTAGTTTTGAGTTTTATCTATTCTCCTTACTTCGGCTTGAGTTTTTTATTGATTCGGAATAATCTTCAAGCTCATATATTTATGTGATTTTGTTTTCATAAAATTGGTACAGAAAATATATTCGGAGAAATGTAAAACAAAATCAAAAAAATAAAAGAAAAATGAAGATAAGTAAACATAAAGAAAATATTATTAAATCCCCGAAGGGGGATCCTATATGCTCCTGAAATTTTCTATACCCGCCCTGCTCAATGCTCCTCTTCGGTCCACGATGTCTATGGGATAATCTAGGGATTTATAACATAATGAATAACCATTAAATTATTTTACTAATTAAGAAAGAGTTCGTAGGTAAGGAGTACTTTTCAACCGAACTTTTGTTGGATTCAATTACAGCTCGTGACTTATTGAAAATAATATTTAAGAAACATAATTTTTATTTTTTGTGTGCGCATACCTTTATGGGCGGCTCGCATCCATTTTATTTGGTAATATATGTCATGCGTCAACTTCCCCTTGGGCAGTTTTCCTGATTTTTTATGAATTTTAAAAGGCCAATTGACATAGCTCAGCAAAATCTTACTTTGGCCGATGAAACAATTCTATTTTATAAAGTTATTTACGCCCGTCTTTTCAAAAAGACAAACTTGGTTAATTCTTATCCTTATGTGAGCAAAATAGAATACGTAAAGCAATCATGATAATTGGCATCTTTGCTTTGGATATTTTAATTTCATTCACAATTTAAAAATGTGGACGCGTAGAGATGAGTCTATGAATCTAAGATTAGAAAATCCCGTGTCACGTGTTCTTGTCATATATCTTGACTACGATTGATAATTGAACTTTATATTATTTTACCTTGTAATTTCGGTAACTGGACCTTTACATTAAAACATAACAAAACATATGGCATTGCCGCTCATTTTATGTCCAATTTAAATGTTGGTTGTGGGTCGTGGATCGCATTTCAAATGGCAAGAGGAAGGAAATAAATTTTTGCTGTTTTATATTTAATTTTGTGTACACTGATGAGGAATCCAAATAAAATGTTAATAGCTTTAAAGATTGATGTGGCGAATAACGAACGAATAACTTCCATATATGGAAGTGGAGGAAGTTTTGTCTAAGCTTCTTATATTTAGCAACTAACACGTTTTATATTTTATGTAGCATATTAATCATTTACCTCCCGAAAGTATTTCAACTTTCACAGTCGAAGTCAGAGCTATCCTTTAAACTACGAACTTTGCTTGTAAAAACAAACTGAAAAATGTTATTGTCGCTGTTGGCATGTCTGTGTTAAAAACTATCCGCAATTCTTCGACTTCCAACCGGGACACCCTTAACAAATTAAGAAGTACCACCACATCATGGGGGTAAGACTAGAACGCCCACTCATATACCACATCGATTTATACTATGAACAAGCTGACTGGGCGCCGAAGTCTGCTATTTCTGAATCCCTGTATTCATCAATATTGTCTGCTTCAAGAATCATGCGCCCAGTTTAACCCGCCTCTAGTTTTCCAAAGGCAATGAGCCTGATTGGCACTTTTACCTTCAGAACAGTTTTAAGACTTGCGAGCAGATAACAGGCGTTGGGGGCTGGATTGAAAGATTGGCGTGGGTGAAGCAGGAAATCCATCTCCAATTCATTTGTTAGCCGTCCGAATCAATAACAACACAGTAACGTTATTATGCAAATCAATGCAAGAAATTTGTCTTTTCCAAAATAGTCTTTTGCGAAAGTAAAATAAAAAAAGTAACTCCTGGGCCCGGACAACCGTGTTCTGTAATATCTCTGCTTTTCAGCATTCCGTCTTATTTAGCTTAGGAGCAGCAAGTAAAAAATCGCAGAAAAGTGACAACATTTAAAATTTGATCACTTATAGCTTTGTGTGGGAAAGCTGATTTTCTTCATTTTTCTTCATTAAATATCGGAAATTTCAGCTTTCTGTGTCTTATAAGTTAGGAGTAATGAACTAAACATGGTTGCTGTCAGTTTTTGATTTAATGTACGCGTGTCATTTGATCGACTCGGCTCAATTTCAACACGAATACGTTCACCTATTGAATTGTAGGCAACATCCAAATTTTTGCGAACGGGACTACCAACAAAATGCACCACACAGGCAGAGAGATGGATGTTTTGATTCAGGGTCTTACGCTTATCAAGAAAATATATATTTTATGGGAACTCTGAAGCTTCCTTTTGGATATTGTAAACGTTATGATAGAAGAAGTGTACCCCCGCCGTTCGGTTGTGGATACCAGATGTAGCTCCGCTAACTCTAGTGCATTACGATTCGTAAATCATTGGAATGAAAAACGAGATGATGGGAGGCCTTGTTTTGAGCGTTTGGGATTTCTAAAGATAATCTGCACTTTTTGCTAGAGACAAAAATCTTTGTGTCGCTTGGGGATATTATTTACCGATATATTGTGCCACTTTATAAAATAAGCGTATATTCGTTCTCATTTGTTTTGCATGTATTGTGCCACTTTATAAAATAAGCGTATATTCGTTCTCATTTGTTTTGCATGTATTGTGCCACTTTATAAAATAAGCGTATAGATCTGGTAATTTTATTAATAATATCGGCAAATACCATCATTAGATTATTAGATTAGATTAGATATGGTAAATGTTAATGACTCTTGGCTATATGCTTTAGAGTGGTCGTAAGCTTGAGCAGTTTAAACAGAGGCATTGATATAACCACGATCACCTATCTTGTTCATTACTATTACTGCTTTCAGTCCGAAATCCTTCTTTTTCTTTATTTTTCAAATTTTTGAGGAATGTTGTATTTGGAGAGGACTGAATCTCGCATAGCCACCACTATGCTTTTCGCATTCCATTCTTATTTGACACCCATTTCGCTGATATTATTAGGGAAAAACTATTGGCTGTGCTCACCACGTTCTTTTTAGAATTAACCCTTTCTTAGGCAGATAATGTATCTTCATTTAAGGAATGTACAAAATAGTTTTAAACATTCCATCTTGTTCGCATTATGATAAATAAACAGAAAACCTCAAGAAAGTGCAAAAATAAAATTTAATCACTTATAATTTTTTGTGGGCATGGCCGATTTTTCCCGGTTTTTGCACATAAAGTCTAGAGCTTTTCGTAAAGTAAATATGAAAATGTTCAGTTTTCCAGCTTCTATAATTTCTGAGTAACGAGCGAGTTTATGCTCCACTGAGGGTTTTTACTTCGGCCAAACTGCACATAAAATCTTCCAGTGTTTCCGTCAAATTTGAAGTCGATATCTTCATTTTTGCGACCAGGAGATTGCTAATAATAGACACCACACAGACACACAGACGGACAGACATGGTTAAATCAATTCAGAATTTCTTGTTTAAATGCGTGTACTCCAATTTTACAGTGCTGGGTATAAAAAATGCTCAAAAATTCTCATTTGATCATTTATTCAAGTTTGTTTACATTTTATTAAAGCATCACGAAAATGTGTACCTGTTAGAGCTTGGAAAAATCTACGCTAATATTGGATATACAACCGCGTTCTGATGTTGTGACCAATCGATCATTTATCGTAAGACAAAATGCTATGTTTTCTTTGTTTTATTTTTTATTTTAAGTAAAGTTAAGTGTTGCGGAGCAATGAATAAAATAATATATTAAATTGTCAATGAAGATTATTAGACCAATGAAACCGCAAAAGAAAATATGAAATATTTATAGCTGTCCTATCGTGTGTGATGTTCATGTGATATTGCTCGCAATACGGCTTGGTTTGACTAACTATTATGTTATGACTATTTAGACAAATATTAGGGCAAAATTTGAAGTTTTCTCAAAAAACAGCAAACGTGAAAAGCACGATGAAGAAAACTTTACATCCAAAGGTGAGAAGTGAACAAGAAAGCGGAAAAGTTCACTTTGCGACGAATCTCTGATACTCATCATCATATCAATATATAAATATTGCAAAGCATTTTATTCGTTGTGGGCATGTGAGTTACTCTCTCACACAAACACTGACTGATGGTCATAGGAATATTTCTCTTCTAAATCATATTTT